TACTGCTCATGAATTCTCAGATATGTGCAACATTGATCCAAGCAGCAATTATTCCTTGCTGCTTGGAAAGTTCAGTCCTTTCATTGCTTTCATTTTTTAGTGTCATGAAGTTTAATTTATTAATATTCTAATTTTACTCCTATTTTTATTTTCAATAAATTTTTAAAAAGCATTAATTAAAATTATGTACTGAGGAAACAATTCTTTTCTACATAGCATGGGTCATAGAAAGTTCAATAATCAAAATTGTGTATTTACTTTTGGAATTAAGATATCATGTTAGAAAATAGCTTTGCCATTACTAGAACGGGGACCCAAAAATCTTTCATGACATGCTTGAGCCTCATGTCCCCATTAATAAGATAATGCTAATATATCTTATTCATTACAATTGTTTGTGGATTAATGACATAAGGAATGTGATGTGTCTGGTGTGCAACAGATGTTCAATCAGCTGAATTCATGTTACTGTAAAACAAGCAAATTTTTAATGTCTTCTCTTTGTTTGAAAAAAAAGGCAGAAAATATAACCTTGTACTCCAAAAGAGTCCACAGCCAATGATATATACCACATAAAATCATTGTGATCAAAGTTTTAAGTTCTATAGTCTATCCTTTCATTCAGGCAGCATAAAGTGTGGGAAATTTTGCCAATATTGAAAACACCATTCACTTATTGGGCTTAATTTACATATAATTAATGCAAAACATTATGCAGGATCATGAAGGAGACTGTTGTTTTTCAAGAGTGTGGGGAAAGTCCTCTTAGATGACTTGTTCCACAGAATAAAAATGATAGTTATACCTTGGGTAGTAATGTGATGTGCCAGGCACTCTTAGAACTCAGCACCTATCAACCCAATGGATTCTAACAATAACCCTGGTGTCATTTATCATTGTATAATGGTTTTAGCAAATTTATTGGGCTACAATTCCTGTACCATGCAATGCATATAGTAAAATATGCAGTTCAATGGCTTTTGTTTGTAGAATTGTGCATCTGTCATTTTAGTATATTTTCATTACAAAAAAACAAAAACAAACCCACTCTATCTCTACTCATGCTCACTTCCAGGCAAGAATTAATGTATTTTCTGCTTCTGTAGATTCATCCTCTTTTGCAATTTCATATTAAGAGACTCTTCAATATGTGAAGATGCTTTTGTGTGAAGATGCTTTCAGTAGCATAATTCTTTCAAGGTTCATCCAGGTAGTAGCATGTTTCAGCACCTCATTCTTTTTATGACAGATAATGTTGCATTGTATGGATATGCCGTATTTTCTTTATTTACTCATTTACTGATAGACCTCTGGCTTGTTCTACCTTTTAGTTATTATGAATAATATTGCTACATTACTGAGTTCTTGGGTGTACAGATGGCTTTTTGTAATTTCAAGATAAAGTAAATAGTATTTTAATGGAAAGGCAGAAGCTAAACATAAAACAGGTGATAGGGACCCACTTCTTCCTGGTGCACTGGGACATAAGTCAAGTATTATTAGAGCACTGTTAAATAATGTCAAAGCACGTTACTAATAAGTTGGGCTTTAAGCACTCTTCCCAAAGTTTATTTTTCTTTAATTGTGCTGAGATGTTGAAGACTAGGTAGACTTATCTTCTTAAGGCCCTTTTCTTGAGCAAAATTCTGCCAATAAAACAACTGGACTGCTCTCATGCAAATGTCCAAACCATGATTCCAATGGCAGAAAGCAGTCTGTACCAGACTTTTCCATTGTAATAACCACTTTTTTCAGGGCCAAAGGAGGAACACTTCTGCCCAGTGGGAAGACCTGTGAGTTGTGGAAGCCCAGTCCTTCATTTGGGTAAGGTACAGTACTATGATTGGTGTAAATGTGAGGCAACTTCAGTGATTGATGCAGATACTCTAGTTCCTTCCCCATTCTGGCTATATGAGCAGCAGCTCCAGTCACTTTGTGAACAGCTGGGATACAACTTCTTGCCCCAGGCCACAAAATAGACTTTCTCTTGATTGGCCTTCCATACCTTTGCTGATCTGGTCACAGGAAAAGAAAGAAGCAGCAGCAGGAGTGAGACAGGTGACTGTGGTGGCAGGGAGGAGTTTACCCTGCAGTCAGGGAAGTAATAAGGCCAGTAAGTGGTTCCTGGAGCAGCAGGAGCTGAATGCCATCAAGCAGCTGAATGCTGGCTGCACCTGACTGGATAGCCAGCAGCTGGCAGAGAGAATATTGGGAAACCACAGAGAAAGTGAAACCAACAGCATCAGTCTGGACTGGCCAATTGAAAGACACTCCCACTGCAGGTCCCTGCATCACAGGGCACATAGGAGTTGTGATACTTATGGCCTAGGCCTGAGTCACCTGCATCTGTCCTGGTTGTCAGGGCCTCTGACCCAATCTCCAAAGAGGATCTGCTGTCTGGACCCAGGGATGACTGCTGGTGCTTTATATCATTTACTCCTCAGCCTGCAAATACCTGTAAGGGTCCAGAACAACTGGAGTTTATCCTCACTTACCTATGATTTCTGTCTGGGTAGAGCAGGACCACAGTTAGCTTCTTTGAAACAAACTTACCATTCAAAACCTAGAAAACAGACATTTAATAGAAATGTTTCACTCTGTAGAGTTCAAAAACAGGAGAAAAAGAGTTTGAGATCTCAAATTTGCAGCCACTTTCAAATCTGTCTGATTAATATTGCAGTTGTGTTTTTACCAGAACTTTTGGTGATATGTAAAAATCAGTAGGTTCTACATGAAAAACTGTATTTTCATCTTTTCTAAAAGTCAAGAATATCTGGCAACAGTAGCCACGAATTTCCTCAAATAAAATCAGCAGGGGCTGAAGAGCAGCTGTACTCCCATTTTAGGAAGAGGAAACCCAAGCAGTTCAATTTTTGCCTGTTATCTTCTTGTATTGTTTGCATTGACTGTGCTACCCCGAGAAGCAGACAGGAAGGAAAGATTGGAAAACTGGGTTTGCAAATGACCTTTGAGGCTCTTACCTGATACACAGATCTTTTGTGTACCAGCTTCTATCTGTGACCATACTTCTCCTGTTAAATTCTTTGGAAAGGGGAACTCACCACCTTCCAAATAGTCACTTATAATTTTGCATTGCTCCTCACCTTTGTAAAATATTTCTTATATCCAGCCCAATTAAGTCTCCCACAGCTGCCAATGTATTTGCCATAATATTTTTTACCACTGGAATCAGAAAATTCAGTTCCATCTTCCAAATAGTAGCCCTTCACAAATTGTCTTGATATTATAATCTCTTTTTTTTTTAAATGTCTCTGGAGTACAATTTTATGTATAAACATAATGCATGCATTTGTAGTGTTGAACTCTGAGTTTTTTTATTCTTTTTTTTCGCAGATCATAGAGCTTTATTAACAGATTCGTGTGTTCTTTTTCCATCCCTTTAATACAAAAAACATTATTCAATTATTTTCATCTGACAGTTCACTAAGTACAGGATTCATAACGTCAACATTTTTAGATCTTTGAAGTGGGTCACACAAGTCTATTGTCATTGTGCCAAATACATACTCCAAGATAAGCTGAATAACAGGTGCCTCCAGGTGTATACAACAACCATAGTTTCTTGAAGTGAACTAGTCCTGTGTAACAGGTGGAGTTGCTAATCTATGTAAATAAACTGGAAAGGACTCAGGTGTGCAGCTGTACATATCAAATAGCAAGTTCATTTCAGTAAGAACTTCTACAGCTAACTGTACACTTGTACAGCTCTCTGCTAGCCCTGCAAAAGCCCCTCTGAACAAAGTTGTAGTTTAGAATTTAAAACAATCTTGATGAGATAAAATGTACCAGAAGTGGCTTTTCTGTAGCAGAAATTAATTATAAGCCATTTTCCTCAAGCAATTTTAAAGACAAGCAGTGTTGAAAATAAATATGCAAACACATACTAGTCTACACATAGAAAAAAGCTCAAGTACAAAGCACAGCAGAGCCTATGACTAGAAGATAAATTAGAAATACAAAATAGTAATTAAGCAATAATTTCTTCTAAACAGGAAACAACTTCTCCAATACCATCATTGATCATTTAACATTTGCCTATTAATTGTGGAATTTAACATATAATCCCATTTGTTAATTAAGACATCTGACCAGATATATCAACAGATGTCTTAAATCACATGAAATAAATGACCATTTAATTATAAATGAACAGAATTCCTTAATGACTTTAAGTTTTGTTTAAGCAGAGAGGTTCACAACTTTTGTAGATTTGCTGAAAATCCCTGCTGATACTTAATGGAAGCATTTAAAAGTTATATTCTTATCTATCTGTTGATCCACAAAATTAACACAATACTCGTGGCTATAGATAAACATAAGCCTCAGGTGTTAGGGTGATCTGTTGAAGTTCCCAAGGACACTAAATTTTGACTTATTTACTGCAGGGCATCATCCCCTTTCTTCCTTCCTTCAAAGGAGCATAATGGAGACAAATTTCCATATTTAAGTGTACAGAAAATTAAGATTTTTTTCAGGCTTGGATCCTAACCCTTAGTTAAGAGGAATGCCAAATATATATGCCAGTAGTTAAATTTTCATGGAACAAAAAAAAATTCCAGTGAAGACATATTCTTTGAGAATGAGACATAATGACATATAACAAGACAGAACACATTTACCATCCATAATCAGAAACTTCAGTTTTCTGCCTGAATCTGGCTTGAAAAATGGTACAAAGTCTACAGCTGCTTTAAAGGACTAAAACCTATTTTAAAAGCCTAAAGAAGCCACTGAAAGCACTCACATGTATTTTATATTCAAAACTCACTACAAAGCCCATTTTATTCAATTTAAAAGTGCTCACATACTTTGTAGTGACTATAATCATATTTTTAAAAGGGAGTACTGCTGATGTAATTAAGACATTCTAAAGACAGAATAAATGTGAAGGATTCTTTTGGTAACTTGGATGTTTGGATAACTTTTTTATTTTTTATATTATTATCATGATGTTGTGCTGGGGGTACACTGAGGGTAATTCTTAAGAACTTAAAATTAGTATTTGTTCCTCCTTAATATGAAACTCTTTCAACATAGCATCTGACCAATTAAGAAATGTTCCTTAGGCACCGTGAGGTGTATTAACGATGGAGTGCAAACCAAAGTTGAAGTGTACAGTTCGATTTTAACTACTGCCACAACAGTTAGCAAGCACCATCTTACCCACTGATAACAAGAAATGCCTTTACCTCACTACTCCTGAGAGTCTTTCTTAATAGGGAAAGCACTTTCATAACCTTTAAAACAATCTATTGGTAGAATTCCATGAACTACACATATTTAAGATATTAGAAAAGATGTTTTCTTTTGTAAGGCATCTATGAATAAATGAATAGAATGCATATCTAACAAAAGATGGTTAACTGTGTCATAAAACAATTTTCTTTATAACTTCTTGAATTCCTGCTACTTTTGCCATCTTAAATAAGAAAAAACAAATGCCTTTTGGCCAACACAACTATGGTTATTTAAAAAAAAAACTAAGACATTTGAAACTATTAGGCACATCAAAGGTACAGTTTATGTATTCAAGATTCCCTTCATAAGGGGTGTATGAGTTAACCTGGCACACTGTACATCTGAAACTGTAAAGATCATCTACTAAATTCAATTTTCACATTTTTAGTCAAACTGAAAGACTTATAGTAAATATTTAACATACCATATCTTCAGTTACAGCTTAGTAAGTGTAACATTTACCAGATAAAAAGCTGGAACTTAAGTATGAGAAACCTTCACACACTGTGCTAGAATAGTCTCTTCTTTAGGTGAAAGCCACCAATACCTTCAACACAGCAGTTTAGAAGATAAGCATCCAAACAGGTGACGTGGTTGAGGTCCATAAGTTAGCAATCCAATGCCACTGGCATCACAATGCTGGGGAGAGAAAGTATACCTCCATATTTTAGTCAGATTTGCCTTTCTTCTTTCCTGTTAAGGGCACTTTGTTTACAACAGCAGACCCAACAGCTGTAACACCTCCAGCCACAGCAGACACGCCCCCTTTCACCAGCCCTATTCCCATGGAAGGCACAGTTGTAACAGCTGTTTTGGTCACCTCCAGGCTCTTTCCACCAATCCAAGCCACACCACCAATGGTGGCACCAATAGCTCCCTTTGTAACACTGAATATTCCTCCAGTCACACGGGACAACATGCCCGGCTGCTGCTGTGGATGATCTTTCATTGAACCCTCTGGTGGTTCATCACTAAGGTATGATGGCATTTCTTGTTGATTTTTATCTGCCTGATTCATGATCTCCACGGGGTCGGAGCCCGCGCCGGGGCGGAGGCAGCGACAGCACCGAGGAGGGCTGAGGTGGCCTGGGAGGCAGCGGCGGTGACACAGCCCTGGACAGCTGCGGGCTCCGGAGGATCCCCTCAAGGCTGGAGGTTCAAGACTGGGGCGTTGGCGCCCTCTGACTGCAGACGTGGCACCCGACGCGACCCCTCCACCGAGTTTTTTTGTTCTTAATTGTGGTGAAAAAAGGACCCCACATAGTATAAAATTTACCATATTAACAATTTTTAAGTACAGTTTTGTAGCATTAAGCATATTTCTATTGTTTTGAACACCCCCTTTATATAATATCAAACAATACTCCCTCAGCATCCTGATAGAATGTCCAAAAGGAAAATATATCTTATAGAGAATGAAAAGAGAATGGTTAATGGGTACAGTGGTACAGTTTGATAGGGAGAAAGACTTCCAATATTCTATAGCACAGTTGTATAACTACAGTTGACAACATTCTATTATATTTAAAAATAGCTAAAAGGGAATATTTTGAATGTTTTCAAATCAAAGAAATGATAAATGTTTGGGGTTAAGGACATGACAATTATTTGATCCTGTCATTACACATTGTATACATCTACTGAAATATCATGCTGTTATATTAGTTAAGTATATCCTATCTCAAAATATGCTGAATTTGGAGCTAGAATCACTTGAGCTAATGTAACTTCACAAAGGACCCTTCAGCCTACCTTTCCTTCATGCAGCAAGCCATAATAACTCTTTTGGGAAAGGTGACCTCCATCTATTCATATGGGAGAATAGTCTTAGTTACCAGAGACTAGTAATTGAGGCCATAATGAACCAGGATGAACTTATAGAAATCATCCTTACCTTAAACTAGCTTTTATACCCTTTTCTATATGTCTGTTAGTAATTCCTATAATTCACTACCCAATCTACAGATGCACTTTTCGTATTATTCCTTCATAAGTTTATTGTTTATCTAAAAACTTGACAAATACCTTGCTTTGGTAATTTTCTTTGGAACACACTCTTTTGTTAAGATTATATATACATATATAGTATTATATATTATATAATATATATAAAACATATATTTTACATATATATATATATATATATATATATATATATATATATATATAAAACATATCTTTTCTCTTGGTAATCACCTTACATGAATTTGGTTACTAAATCCAGCCACCTAAGAACTAAGAGGTGGTATCACAGAATCTCTACACCTCCTTTATAATATGTACAGTTGTCATATGTCCATTAAAAATTATAAAATATGACAATTATTTCTAAGAAAAGGCAAACATTTCTACCAATGTGTTTCTCAAAAATTTACAGTATTCCCTTTTCATGTTTATATCTTGAATCAAATTGGTGCAAAAGTATAACACAGAGACATATTATCCCTTGCAGATAATCTCTTATTTCAGCACCTAACTATATACACAAAATATTAATAAGTTGAGAGAAGAGATAGACTATACTACAATAATAAGAGGAAATTTTAATACTCCACTTTCAGTAATGATAGATCATCCACACAGAATATCTATCAGGAAACATCAGCTTTAAAGTATACTTTAGACCAAATGGACCCAGGAGACATACACAGAACATTTTCTCCAACAGTGACAGAATATAAAACTTTTCTTTATCCATTCATTTGTTGATAGACATTTAGGTTGATCTCATATCTCAAATATTGGGAATAATGCTTCAAAAATGTTGGAGTGTAGATATCTATTGTACTAGTTTAATTTTCTTTGAGTACATTTCCAAGTAGAGGAATTGCTTGGTAATATGATATTTCTATTTTTAATTGTTACCACAATTGCTGTATGAATAGACATTCTTGCTAACATTGTGCAAGGGTTTCCGATTCTTCATATACTCTCCAACACTTGTTATATTTTAGGTTTTTAAGAATAACCATGTTCACAAATATGAGATCATACACCTCCTGTCTTTAATTTTCATTTCTCTGATGGTTAGTGTCAAATGATGAAATTGCCAAAAATTTAGTTTAAAAATTAGTTGGCTTTATTTTGCAATCCTTACAATTGTTAAAATTAGCTGATCAGAAGTGGTTGGTTTTATTAGCAGAAAAGGGCCAAACCAAGAAGAAACAAGAAAGGAAAAGGGAATTAGTCATTAAAAAATTATTCCTCTTGTATGACCGAAATTGAGATACAACTTTTGAAAAATAACTGATTGGGTTAAGGTCAGGTTATTTCAGGATAGCAGAGGGAACTTGTTATCATGATTAAAACTGGTGTTTGGGAAATTTAGTTTTTCTCAATATCCTCTAATATCTTAGAAGGATAATAATTGTTCCCTTACATTTTCTCCCTATTTTTCTAACATAAATTATTGAAGAGAGATCCACTTTCCATTGTGTTCTTGGTACATTTGTTAAAAATCAAGTTGATAATTTGTGGATTAATTGCTGAGCTCTCTATTCCATTTCATTGGTTAATAGGTCTCTTTTCATGCCAGCACCTTGTTGTTTACTTTAGATTTTAGTATGCTTTTAGAAAAGATGTTATTATTCTCTAGTTTCATAATTTTTATTAATGATTGCTTTGAATGTTCCAGGGCTTTTGTACAGAACCAGAATTCCATTGAAATTTGGTAGATATTGCATTAATCTGATGATTGCTTTGGATATTGTAGAAATTTTAATAATACATATCCTAACCCATGAATGTGGAATATCTTTTTATTTATCTGTTATTTTCTTTGAGTTTATAATTTCAATTGTTTATAGCTATCTCTTTTCAAGTCTTTCATCTTTTTGGATGAATTTACTACTAAGCTTTTCTATTTCTTTTTTGGTTATTAGCGTTATTAGGATTTCTTTCTAATTTTTTCATAGAGTTTTTGTATTGTTTGTTATATAGAAATGTGATCTTTGCATATGGATTTTATATCCTGAGAGACTTTACTGAATTTGCTTATTAGTTCAAACATCTTTTTGGTAGTGTTGATCGGTTTCTTTTTATAAGACCATATTGTTTGCAAATATGAACAATTTAAGAATTTCATTCCCAATTTGGATGTCATTCATATCTTTCTTTGCCTATTTGACTTGGCTAGGCTATTTGGTATTATGCTGAATAGAAGTAGGTAGAGTTGACATTTTTACTACTGTTTGTGATTATATCCTATGACTATTTCTAAACCATTTCTAAAGTTTTTTTCCCTTGGGTAATATCCTATACAGTCTCTTTGGTCCTAAGTCTCCTTTTTTTCAATAGATAAGGTCCACTTTTTCATTCTTGCATCACCAATATTTATATTTCAAATCTCATTTGAAATGTTTAGCATACTAGTGGTAAAAAAGCAATGGCCATCAAATGGCAGCCATTTGGGCTTTAAAAGATAAAGGAGACAGGCACCAAGGTGAGAAGTCAGCCCTGACTCTCTCTCACATAGCAACCAATGGAAACTGGGATCACTCACTGGCTCTGGAATGGCTAAGAGGATCTGTGATCTCTGCTGACCAACTAGTCACTGCCATCCATGGGGAGGTTCAAGGAGACCCAAGGGGTGCAGGTTCCCACAAAGATGGCATCTGTCTTTGACAACCTGAATTGTAAAAGAAATGGCAATTGTGCACAATCGTACTAGTAGCCTCTTAAAATTGCTTGTCTACAGAATATGATTCCTTTAACATAATTGAAGAGCAGTATTTGGTGCATGCCAGATTGAAGAATAATACATTAATTACAAATATTAATTTTTCTCTGTTCAAATAATTCTTTTACCTATTACATTATCTATTCTTACATATATGCTAGAATTATTTAGACTTGATATAAAAGGATAAAGAAGAAAAATTTGTTTTATGCAGACGTGACTACTGACTAGTCAAATAAATATAAAATATGCATTCTCAGGTTCTGTTTAGGTAGATAAGATTTGGAATATGGCAGGTGATTCAAATCCTGATCTTATTGCCTGGGTAACTCAAAGTAAGTCATATAGAAAATAACCCAACCTTCAATCTCTTGGGCAGTCAAACTAATGAGGGAGCAACAGAGGGAATATAACTATATTTAATGTTGCAAGAATTAAGGGTGCCAATGTAGTTCATACTTTAGCATGGGTTTTGATCTATAGAAAGGGTGAAAGAAATAGAAACTATTATTACCACACACATTAGTTTTGTGAAGAGAAGATATGACCACTATCAAAAGAATATGTAACACAGAAGAGTCTAGAAAAACTGTGAAATACATTAAAGCTCACACTTGAATTCTCTTCCAACTACATTCTCTTCCAAACACTCTTCTCATATTAAGAATTGACTGTCAGAAATAGAGGACTGGCAGATTATGGTAGTAAACATTGGATTTAGGTTTACAGAAAATATCTCAGCTTCATCCCATATTTGCTGTGTGAACTTGGAAAAGTTACTGAAATACATTGAAACTTCTTTCAATCATGGATACTCAGGGATTATAACAAGAATAGCTCTCAGAATTAAGTCATGAGGATTTCAAAGATGATAAAAATAATGATTGTTGCCAGAATTAAAGACAATTCACTCAACATGAAACTTACTGAGACTATAAGAAGTCATTTATGAGGATATCTGCACTTTAATATGAAGCCATAATTTAAGTACATTAAAAGAAATGATAGTGGGTCTTTTGGTGACACACCAGTAATCCCAGTTACACATGATGCAGAGATCGAGGATTGTAGCTTGAGGCCAACCTGGACAAAAAAATGTTATTGAGAGCCTATCTCAAAAAACAAGCTGAGTGTGTTGGTTCAGGCCTATAATCCTAAATATGCAGGAGGTAAAGGTAGGATGATTATGGTTTAAGTCTGGCCCTGGACAAAAGCAAGACTCTACCTGAAAAGTAAACTAAAGCTAAGAGCCTAGAGCCATAGCTCTAACTTGCCTAGGAAACACAATACCTTGGGTTCAAACTCTCTAAAGATAAATGACAGTGCTAGATTGTGAACACTCAACTGTCTCTTCACTCTAGCCTAACGCCCCTTGAATTTCTAATGTCTCCCACTGCAGCGACCACCCCCACATCTTTCTCTCTTTCCCACCCCCTCTCTCTTTTACCTGTGTTACTCTCTTTTATTTCCTCCTTTCATACATCAGTTCCTCTTGGCTCACTGTTCTTGTGCTAATGTCTTCTCAATTCTATTCTCTCTTGTATGAATACATCTTCTCCACAATGCATCATATCTGAGAGCCTTGGGGCAGCTGATATTTTGAGGCTTCCATTACCTAGTGCTATCCTAATGATTTTGTCATTTTAAATAAGTAAATGACAGAATATGTAAAACTTTACTTGCACCATGACATATGTCTGATCATGATCTCATAGTTTGATCTAACCATTGGATGGCTAGAATTAAAATAACTGCCAAAGAACTTAGAAGTAGGCCCTGAGTTGTAAGGGGCTACAGCTGGGGTCACAATTATTTAGAATACCAACAGTGAACTCCTGTCTTCTACATTAAGGCAAAGTGCGATCTATGTGGTACCACACTGGGAACCACTGACTTTGTACATGGTACATTTAATTAAGATTTCCCTCACTCTCAGAAATGACTAGAATATATCATTATTTTCCGCCTGTGTCCAGAACACACCCTCTTGCCAAGTGTATTCTTTTGGAAAGCTGTGATGTAAATCAACTCTTACTCCCCTGCACAGTGATCACTGACACTGAGATATAAAGCATCTCTAGCAATCCCCACTTCCAAAACCCAAAGAAAGACACTAAATCCTGAGGCCAACTGACGTCTATTTACTGGTCATTAACACAACTCACAGAACAGGTTGGATTTAAAAATATGAAATATATGTCCAAAAATTTACTGGCCTTCCTTTTTTCTCCTACTCCGAGTCTCTGCCTTTGCCTAGTACCTTCCACAGAGCCCCCTTTACATCCTTGTTCCTCAGGGTATAAATCACAGGATTGAGCATGGGGGTGATTATAGTATTTAAAAGGGCAACAAACTTCCCCTTGCTCTCAGAATAACTGCCCTTGGGTTGTAAGTATGTGTAGATGGCTGAGCCATAAAACAAAGAAACCACCAAGAGATGGGACCCACAAGTTCCAAAAGCCTTTCTGTTCCTGACAACTGACTTGACCTTCAGCATGGCCCTGGCAATGTGTACAAAGAAGCCCAGAATTAGTGCTGCAGGTATAGCAACCATCATGACTCGTGCCACAAACATCTTGACTTCTATTCCTCTTGTGTCCACACAAGCCAGTTGAAGGAGCACAGGCATCTCACAGAAGAAGTGATTAAGGTGATGGCCACATAGAGGCCTAGCCGTCATGAGCCCTGTCTGACTCTGCGAGATCACAAGCCCTCCCAACCAGGAAGCAACAGCCAATGCCTGGCAGAGAAGGGGGTGCATAATGGTCATATATTGGAGTGGATGACACACAGCAGCATAGCGATCCAAGGCTATCACCACCAAGAGCACACACTCAGTTCCATCCAGGGAGAGGAATATGATGAGTTGGGCCACACACCTTCCATAGCTGATGGTCCTGTCAAGTCCAGAAAGATTAACCAGCAGCTGGGGCACAGTGCTGGTGGTGTAGCAGAGGTCCAAGAAGGAGAGGTGGCAGAGGAAGAAGTACATGGGCGTGTGCAGGCTCACATGAAGTCGGGAGAGAACAATGATGGTGGTGTTGCCAAACAGAGTTAAGGAGTAGAAAACTGAAATGAAAACAAATAGGGTAAGTTCCAGTTGGGGCCAATCTGAGAAGCCCACCAAAATGAAGCCCTCATCCAAACTGGTGTTGAATCTTCCCGTAGCCTTTCACCTGCACAAATAGCAACAGACAATTCAATGCCTCCTGTGACGAAAGTGAATTAAAATCTTATTACATAATTTTCACAAAATACTTCAAAATCATGGGTTTTGTTATCTTTTTCACTATTCTTTCATTCTGTGAGTCTTCTGTTTTTAATTCTGCTCTTCACCATAATAGAGGCCACTGGATCTTTGCTTGAACCCTAGTTCTGCTGCCTGTTTGTTCCATGATGTTAGCCAGGACATTCAACACTTTGGCTATGATGCTTTCTATTCTGAAAGTCATAGCATTGAGATTAGGACCCAAAAGCAGTAATGTGAAAACATTTTTAAAAAGATATTACATATAAAATGCAGCATTAATAGTCTATGCCGTTTTCTTTTTCTCCTTTTCTTAATCTGGAGAGAGGCTTTCTCAATGGATTAGAATCTTGAAATAACTATATGGAGGACCATATTTGGCCTCTGTGTGCTTGTCTACTTCCTTCTGCTCAGTGCAGATGTTCAGCAACCCAGTCCAGGAATTCCTGTTCATGACCTGTCACCATCTGTCTCAAAGGGATGAGAAGAGTGTAGGTCCATACTGGGAAAACATTACCACAAATATGTTTCTGATCATGAGTCATAACGTCAAAGATACTCTTCCATTTTTCCTTCAGCTGGTACTGATCTATCCCTCATCATCTCTCCCAAGAAATAATGTTCCATTCTCTCTGACCCATTCTTCTTTGTGGAGCTTCTTTCTACCTTTTTTGGCACTGAAGTTCTTTTAAATATGTTTTTGTCCCTCTCTGATCTGTGAAATCCAAAGCAGTAGAGTACATCGTAAATATAAAAATAAATGTTATTCTCTTACTTTAGGGTATATAAGAGGTGATAAATTAATATTACTTTCCTTCATATTCTATGGGTGTTAAATTTCATTCAGTGAAACATTTGAATCTCTCTTCAAAAAATATGAAAATCTATTTTTAAGAAACCTGAAGATTATCCAAAACACTCTTTAATAAATTAAGGAACTGGGATAGACATAAAAAGTTGCCTATCTTTAAAGATTGATATTTGTGGTAAAATTCTCAACAGAATTACAAGAGTTTATGGTTTTCAGCATAAGATCTTTAATCTCTTTGGTTAAATATGTTCATGCACATTTTATTCCTTCTGATGATACTGTAAAAGGGAGAGTTTTCTTCAATTTCTTTTTGATAGTGGATTGACTTTTGAAATGCAATTCACTTTTGAATGAAATTTATATCTTGAAACTTTACTGATCTCAGAAATTTTTACAGTTTTTTTGTTGCTTTCAAGTCTTTAGAGTATTATGTTTATATAACCATGTCATAAAAAGTAATTCCACTTCCTTTTTTCTAAATTGATTACCTTTTAGTTCTTTCTTTTGAGGACTGGATATCCACATATAGAAGGAAGGAAATAGAATCTTATCCTACCCACACACAAGTACCTATTCAAATAAGTTAAGTTTTGCTCAGAACAACTGGGAATGTAAAGTGACTAGACATAAACATAGGAGAATATGTTTTAACTGGATCTGGCAAAGATTTTTACCCATGACTCCAAAAGCATATGAACCAACAAGAGTGAACCCTAATAAAGTATGGACATTGGGTGGAAATGAGGTCTCCATGTAGGCTCATCAGTTGTAACAAATGTACCTCTCTGGTAGAGGGCATTGATAACTTAAAACACTATGCATGTGTGGGGGCAGAGAATAAACAAATCTCTGAACAATATTGTTGTGAATAAATTCTCTAAAGCTAACATTTATGTACAATTCTTGCTAACAAATATCTAAGTAGGAAAAGATTAAGGATAAATAAATATTTTCTAAGATACTTATTGATATAATTTATTAGTAGAAAACTTGCCTTGGAAGAAATATTGAAAGAATTTATTTGGAGAGAAGCATAATGTTATAGTTGATCAACCTGGATCTATATAAAGAATGGAAGACCATTAGAAAAAATAAGCATAAGTATAATAAAAGCTCTATTTTTCTTAGCCTTAATGGATTTAACAGAATACAGCTCAGAATAATCACAACAAAAATGTAAACAATGATTATGTATACTATGATTATAGCTTGATGAATGAAAAAAAGATACAAGTGGATTACTTTGTTAGTGTAAGATACTTATATCACCTTAGGGAGGGCAGTATATGGTTATGTGAATGGGGAAGATTAATTGTAAATGTGTATAGCAAACTCTCAGGCAACTCACTTTTAAAAGATTTAAGAAAAGTGGCAAAATTGACTAATATTGTAAGAAAGAAAAGAAAACTGAAATCAGTAAATTGATCTTTGCTAAACTGTGGAAGACAGACGTAAACATTGTTTTCTTTGGAAGGTTGGAATTTATTTAATATATTTTTCTTGTTTACTTTTTATGTTATTGTTTTCATATTTTTAGACCAGGTCTACTTTGTGCCCCGGCTGGTCTTGAACTCCAGATGATCCTCCTTCATCTTCCTGAATGCTGCAATTAAAGGGGTGAGCCACCACACCCAATTAAAGGTTTGTATGAATTGGGATAAAAATATAAACAGGACTCTGAGAAAGTATGCCAAAAAAAGAGAAAAAATACCAACAGAATCCTACCCTGTGATTAGCATGAATAATTTGGGGCAAATAATTCATTCCTTCTTAAGTTTGCCAAATTGGAAGATCATGTCAATGCTGCGATGCTGAATCAGTGATGCCACCCTTAATACCCTTGTGAACAACAGACAAAATTTGAATCATAGAGAAAAACGTGTACACATGTGGCTTAACAAATGCATTGGAGCTATTTTTGATTGATTGCCCAAGAACAGTGCATTCAGTTCTCTGAGGTTCACTTTACTTAGCTGTAAAACAAAAAATCATTGATTTGAGAAGCCTTTGTTAGAATTAAAGGTTTCTGACAGAGGTGGGCATGGTGGTGGACACATGTAATCCTAGCACTCAGGAGGCTCATGCAGGAGGTTTGTGAGGTCAAGGTCAGCCTGGGCTACATAAAGAGACCCTGCTCCCCCAAAAGCAATAGAAAAACAAAAAAAAAAACATACAAAAAATTTCAGTGCATGCTGGATGAATCATTGAGTGCCATCTCCACACTGGCACCATGCCTGGTACACATAAATTTTGTTTCCTGTGCAAGAGGAGAAAATGAACAAATCTGAATATTTCTCAGTTAATGGCACAAGAATTTTGACCATTTCTTTTCCATATTTTTACCAATAATCTATAATAGCATATAGAAGTACTCAGTGTATTTGCAATTGAACAAAAAGTTTCAAATTATAATTATGTGACATGTTAGAAACATAATCAAAGAGAACTTTCAATTGATGAAACAAGAAGCCCAATAAATAGACGCCAAAGTAAAAAAGAGATGATAAAAATAAACAAGGAAAACTGAAATTAGTTTAAAAAACTCTTTTGAACAAATATAGAACAGGATGGACAAAATTGCAACTTGACAGAGATTTGCTAAGAAACTAAAAGACATAGATGTCTTAAAGGTACATGGATCAAAACCTCAACACAAGTCAACAGTGCCTACAGGAGTGCTGAAGTTAACCAGATACAAGAGCAGACTGCATAAAAATCAAAAGAGGATTCCTTGATGTCTACAGTTTAAAAACAAACCTGAAAACCATTTCCACCTAAAGTTTTGTGTCATCTGATGCATGATTCCCATTTACACAAAGCAAAACAAGAACATGGATAATAAATCCCATGCTTTACTTCCTTTATAAGAAAAGTCTTGTCCTTTTCTCCCCATTTCTCAGCTGCCTATTTCCATCTTTGTGGGAATTTCTCTATTTCAACGTTTAATCCATCAAAGACTATGCCTTCTGGAAATATGCAGTTCTCTAGTTCCACAACTAAAATAACATCAATAATTTGATGTACCTAGCACAGCTTTACAGTTTCATGCCCTAAAAAACGACTGGCACAGTAAAAAGCTTTATCAGTAATTAATTCCCTGACGCCTATAGCATTGACCCGCACCAGCTCTTAAACAGTTCCTTAGAAATCTGTGAAGCCTTTAGGAAGCTTCATTTATACTTACACACTGGCATGCTGAGGTGATCCTCCTTCCTTGGCATCTGATATTTTCTTCTGGAATCTGATGTGCAAAGGCTGTCTTAATGCTCTATAGTGTCTAGGTCAATGCTGTTATGAGCTGTTCTCCATCATATTGACTCTTTTTCTGCCTAACCAAGACTTTGACACCTGTATGATTACTTGTGATTACACGTTTGGAAGTGTGTTCTGCCTACTAACCCTCCCAGGTGTTACTGTTAATGGGCTGATCTGTGGAACCACAAACACCATACCCACTGCAAATATCACATTAATCAAATCTGTAACTGATGGCAGTGACTCCCTGTGTTCAGCACAGCTCACTTTGCTGAAGTTGCTCTGCATCACTCAGCAAACCATTGCTGCAGTGATGATACCTTCATACAACTTTTTCCACTCTAGCTATGGTCACTAGCTAGGATCTGACTCATGCCCATATTTGGTAATTACAAAAAGAAAATTTCTTTGGGAGTCATTTATATTCTTGAAAAGGAATTTCAGTTAACTCCTCACATGGACCCACATGTAGGTCTCAGATATATCCTACACATTATTCATAGTCCTACATCTCCTAACTCAGGGTGGCATTGACCCTGATCACACTGGTTCAAGGACAGGGCATCTCTGAGCCTTCCTGTGGTGGAGCCACAATGCATGTGGGTTAGAGGGTGGGAAAGGTTTTATTAGGGGAACAAACAGAGTAAACACCAATATCCTTCAACTGACAATCCTCCAAAAAAAGGAAAATAATCATGGAATGGGTTCCATATTCCTCAAGGGAAAGTGAAAGCTTGAAAACATGCACATCTTTTTGTATTTCCTAAATCTTTTATTTTAATAAAAGGATGAAATAATGTGAGGCTGATAGAATTCATTCCTAATGACTCACAATTTCATTCAAAATATGAATAGACATGCACAGATCCTTCTACAACTTAATACTGAAATAAAAGTATAGCACCAATAGTCTGCATTGGTGATAGAATACTGAGTAGCACACATGATTTTAGCTTTGGATTTGTATTACATTTTGTCTAAATACATAGAATCATAGGACAATAAAATTAATAAGGCACGTGTAAACATCCTGTATAAGAAACTGGTATTTCTAACTGAGATTTTTTTATTAGAGTAAAGAAATGGTTAAGGTCAAGTGTGACAGTGTATGTCCACGTTAAAGATCGGTTTTATAGAAAATGCAATTAACTTGCTTTGTTCTCCCAAATCCAAAATTCAGACAAACACCACAGGGCAGATTGTGATTGATGAAGAAGAAAACTTGAGTAAAGGATGAACTAGTTTAAAAATAGAATACTTGGAATGGAAGTCATGTTCCTATAATGTAATGTCAGATTCCTGCTAATTCAGTCTGAAGGATGATCTTTAGGGATTGTTGTAAAACACTTTCTTTGTTAGGTGAAAGATTTTGTTCAATGGCTTGGAACATTGTACACAGCCTAGACCTTCTTTACTTTTCTGATCTTAATTATACTTTAAAAATTGAATCCCTACCAAAAATTTCCTTGACATACAAAGCATTTTGATATTTTCATATTTGTTTTTCTGCATTACAAAGATCAGTGATTATCTATGCCCAACTCTTTCTGTATTTGTGTCTATGTGTATATGTACTATCTTTATAAATAATAAACTTGTTGTTCAGAATCTCATTTAACTGCATGTAGTACTACATTTTCCAACTGAATCAAATAATTTAATGATATTGTCTTACTTCAGTGGAAGTATCATCAGGTCATAAAATTTAATCTTCTGTATGGGCATAGGAAGATGTTCCACTAATTCCTTCCCTATTTCTTTGTTCAACCATATATTCTTAAGTCAAATTTAGAAAACTTCCTTCCATTATGCCTGCAACTGTAGCTCACTTATTAGTATTAGTAAATTATCTACCGACTGAACCTAATGAGGCACCAAAACATCCTTCTACCTACCTCCATTAACATCTGTTCTACAGACTCAACCATTCTCCAGTCGGGATCTCATCACTTTCACAAGAGAAACAACACAGTATTTGATCTGATCCCACAGGTGTTTATGGTAGTCTGCAGGAGACTCTTTGAAATACTAACAACACCACATTCAAATTTTTAGAAGACCAAATAATCAGAGATTGATCGTCGTCAGCTTAGTGGACATTCAAAGACTGAATCAACAAATTGCTGTTTGTTTTCACTGTGACTCAGCATCCATGACATTGTCTCAATCTGGAATGTGTTTTTTCCTGTTGTCTATCCCACAGAAAACCCTTCTTAATTTATTTCACCAACTCTGACTATGCCTCTGTCCTTTGCCTCCTGGTTCTGATGTCTGCAATTTATTTTACATGTTAGAGCACTGGCATTACAAGTTTGAAGGGGATTCCAGAATGATTTTTAAGTCAAACCTCATGGTTTATATTTTTAGAAATTTGTTTCCCTAAATTTATGAACTTGGAGATGAAGACCTATGGGTGAGAATATTTTTGAAATGATGTTTTTAGAGTAGATAAAGGGAAGAACGTGATAAAGAATATATCAGTTATAAAATAGGTTTTTGCTTGAATTTAACATTTCTCTGTCCTCCAACTGGGAACCTACCACAATGGAGCCCAGTGCTAACTGCCTAGTGGAATATGTCTTGTTTTCTAGATTTGTACTGTGAAAGAAAAGTGGCTCAGCCAGTCAGCACTCACCTGGAGTTCAAGGAAAAAAAGTGCTTCTTTTCCCTCCCTCAATTCTGTTGACTTCAAGGGAGCTATGAGGACCACTGGAGACTGGTGGCATCTAGTGATATCTGAAAAAGACACTTTTTGGTTTGGTCCTGATCTCCCATAGTGGGAAGAGCTCAGATCAGAGCTCTTATCCTTTAGATGGCTGAGGTTTATAAACTTGGAGCTGCCAGCATCCCCTTCTTGGAAACTTTCTTGCTCACCCTAAACAACTGAGAGCTGGAAAGAGCTGATGTATCATCAGACCACCTCCTGTTCCTAAGGATGAGCATCTGTGTAATCAAATCATCTCCTGATCCTAAGTCTGAGCTACTGGATTATCAAATCACTGCCTGAACCCAAGATTTAATTCCTTTATTGTCAAACTTTCTCCTGACCCTTTCACTGAGCATACCAATTCTGTCCTGTGGGCATTTCTAAGACCTCCCTGAGGGAGTGGAAAGATAGTTGATTATCAAGTGTGGCCATGGATACCCCAGAGGGCCCCAGTGTGGCAATTGCTATCATATGATAGGCTCCCAAGATCTGCCTTGCAGATTTCTCTATTTCCTATAGTCTGTCCTAACCAGAGTTATCTATTCAGTGTTCCCAGAACATACCTTCTTACTGGCTCCTGTGACTCTGCAGCCTGGGATTCCTCACACTTTCCTAATTTGACCCTTATCCTACCAGACTTTCCTATGTGAGAACAAATTCTATGTTTTCTGGAGGCCTACCTTAGCATACCTGAAATGTCTTCCTTCTCAGGACTCTTCATATAATCATCATGTACTCCCAAATATGTGTGCAATTGATCCAATCAATATTAATTTCCTTGTTGTGAAAGTTCAGTCCTTTCACTGCTGTCATTTTCTGATCCTACAATGCTTAATTTATCATTTATTATTATTTTTTATTCCTATTTTTGTTGACAATAAATTTGAAAATGTATGCATTCATGGAAAAGAATATATTGAGCACATAGTGCTTTTCTACATACTGTGGGTAATAGAAAAGTCAGTATTCAAAATTTTGCAACCAGTTTTTTTTGTTTATTCATATGTGCATACAATGTTTGTGCCATTTCTCCCCCCACCTCCTCCTTCTCCCCCGAGGCCCTCCCTCATCCCCCCATCCCCTTGCTACCAGGAAGAAACTATTCTGCCCTTATCTCTAATTTTGTTGAAGAGAGAGTATAAACAATAATAAGAAGGACCACGGGTTTTTGCTAGTTGATATGAAGATAGCTATACAGGGAGATTCCTAGCCTTGCTTCCATGTACAAATGTGTTACATTCTAAATTGATTCTCTAGTTCCTGATCCCCATCTCCTACTGGCCTCCATTGCTTTAAAGTTTCTGCATTAGTTCCTTTGCATTGAGGAGATCAAATACTATCATGTTTTTTGGGTTTCTTACCTATCCTCATACCTCCCTTGTGTGCTCTTGCCTTATCATGTGACCAAAGTTCAATCACATTGCTGTATTTGCCCTTGATCTGAAGTCCGCATATGAGGGAGAACATTCAATTATTGGTCTTCTGAGCCTGGCTAACCTCGCTCAGAATCCATTTACTTGCAAATGAAAACATTTCTTTCTTTTTCATAGCTGAATAGAATTCCATTGTGTATAAATACCATATTTTCTTAATCCATTCGTCTGTAGTGGGGCATATCTTGGCTGTTTCCATAACTTCATTATGGTGAATAGTGCTGCAATAAACATGGGTGTGCAGGTGCCTCTGGAGTAACTTGTGTCACATTCTTTTGAGTATATTCCCAGGAGTAGGATTGCTGGGTCATATGGCAGATCTATGTTTAGATTTTTAAGAAGCCGCCAAATTTTTATCCAGATTGTACTAGTTTGCATTCCCACCAGCAGTGTATAAGGGTTCCTTTTTCCCCACATCCTTGCCAACACCTGTTGTTAGTGGTGTTGCTAATGATGGCTATTCTAACAGGGGTGAGGTGGAATCTTAGTGTGGTTTTGATTTGCATTTCCTTTATGGCTAGAGATGGTGAGCATTTTTTCATGTGTTTTTTGGCCATTGGAATTTCTTCTTTTGAGAAAGTTCTGTTTAGTTCAGTTGTCCATTTCTTTATTGGTTCATTAATTTTGAGGGAGGTTAGTTTTTTGAGTTCTCAAGATACTCTGGTTTTCAGTCCTTTGTCTGATGTGTATCTGGGAAATATTTTCTTCCACTCTGTGGGTGTTCTCTTCAGTTTAAAGACCATTGCTTTTGTTGTGCAGAAGCTTTTTAGTTTTATGAAGTCCCATTTGTCTACACTTTCTCTTAGTTGCTGAGCTGCTGGGGTTCTATTGAGGAAGTCCTTGCCTATACCTATTATTTCCAAAAAGTTTCCTACTCTTTCCTATAACAACTTTAGAGTTTAGGGTCTGATATTAAGGTCCCTGATCCATTTTGAATTGATACTAATACAGGGTGATAAACATGGGTCTAGTTTCAGTTTTTTGCAGATAGATAACCACATTTCCCAACAACCTTTGTTGAAGAGGCGGTCTTTTCTCCATTGTATATTTTTAGCGCCTTTGTCAAAATGAGGTGGGTATAGTTGTGTGGATTCATATCTTGGTCCTCTATTCTGTTCCACTGGTCGTCATGTCCGTTTTTGTGCCAG